CCCCCCCCCCCAAACAAATAAAATAAAATAAATAAAAAAGGAGTTTAATAACACGCGAAACTACCCATATACTGTTGTAAGTACTTGAGTTAATCTAGCGATATATATTATGAATGATTATTATAACGTGTATTCCTGTACCATGAATATTTCCGTTTCATTATTATCTTAAAAAAGTAGGACAGGATAACTAAAAGTACTAGATACGTAGTAATCTAGTTTGTCTAACTCTAATGTAAAAATTATATTGGCACTTTTAAATGAACATACATTCTCCTTCGCGTAATTGAATAATAATAATATTGAACTAAATATTCGTATTCATTTTAAAATAATTTTATACTAATGAAATGAATCATTTCAAAAACAATCTCCTTCAACCAACTCGATTTGCCAAGACCCATCCGTCATCTTATATAATGCCGACTCATCCTTGTGTTATAATAATTAGTTTGTTCAAAGATTTGTAAACACACGTGTTCATACATGTTTCTTCGTATTGTCCGTTTCCCGTAGATATTAATATCATAAATAAATTTGTATAAATAATGATCTTCAGCAAAACAGAAAAGTTTTCGCAAATATCCTAGCTACAACACTGAGAGTTCTGTTTCCACTCGATTTTGCACACGTGATAAGATAAACTGCGCGGCACGCCTCCGGAAACCCCTCACCCACAGAAAACCTAGTAACCGCCATCGAATACGACCGTCGAAATGTCAGCAGTTACGTCAATACCACTGCAAAGTGCGTGTTTAAAAAAAACCCACAGATTTATATCCAATTTCACGTACACAACGAAAATAAATGTCAAAAACAAAATTCGATCATTTTTCTATGACATTGATGTTACATAAGGACAATCATATATATCAAAAATATTTCAGAACATACCCTTAGTTATATCAGCTCACGGCCTCACCCCCTGGCGGCGGGCCTACGGTTCTTGCCTCTGTGGTCCCGTGTCGTTAGTTTTCCATGCCCGGCGGACGGACGTCTGTAAATCTAGTTCCACATGTCCGTGGTTACAACGTTCTGTGACAGAATGTAATCACACAGTGATCATAACTTGTCAAAATCCCAGCTCGCTTCTCATTGCTAGGACAGGCTCTCGACAGCCGACGATTCCAATTAGCCTAAATAAGGCCACGTGATTCTCCTTTCGCTACGAACTCCACTACCGAAAAGACGACCATTTTACGCACAGTGCGTGCTCACTCGACCGCACGTACTACAGCTGGGAGCCACTACGTCGTTTCCATTACAACAGGCATGCTTAATGCTTCACATGCTAAAACAGCTGAATTACGAGGAGCTACAAAACCAGGCTGTAGCATTTAGATCATCGGATAGAATTTGTGACGTATTGTATGATGTTGCCGTACCCCCGGGTCACAAGGTGTGTGCTATATATATGACGACCGCAGATCCTATCGGGCTTCAGTGCAGGGAAGGCTTCCGGACACGGCATATGTTTAACGTCTCATCCGAGCATTGTTTTACGTGTATATGATACAAGGTGTCAAACGGTACAGCAGAATATGTGTGTAGTGCTAAGATACAAGCAGCTACTGTCAGCGACAGGGAACGACCATTATATATGTGCTGCTCGGAAAAATCATAAAAAATCATCATGCACCCTACTTGAAGCAAAATGGGCGTGGTATGTACAGATCCCCAAAATAATAAAACATATCCACGATTAATAGTACCGTAAGTCAAATGGGCGTGGCAGGTACAGATCCCAAGATCCCCATCCAACGGTCCTTGTTAATGTATATGCATTGCTTATGGACCGCGTATTGGAATTTTGTACATTGGTCACTTCCGGTGTTCCCTTCCCCCTCCCCCCNGTTAAAGCCACAACGTTAACATTGACATCATCGAGGGGGTTACGCTCACTTTCGCTCTCTGCACAGCGTTTTAAAATGTAGTACTCCATGTTTAATCCTCGACACTCCAGGGGTTGAATACTACCTTTGAAAACAGTAATTATATTATAAGCTTGTCACTACAATGTAGCTCTATTTCGTGAGTAAAATCAATTGCAACACAGTCATTTAGAGCTGGTTCCATCATTTAGAGACAGAATGGCTATTTCATGATTAAACCCGTCTTTATGTGTAGGGATAATAGTATCATTATACGTGCAGTTAATGGTCAGTCACATAATGTGCATCTGATCAAATAGTAATTCAGGCGAATAAAGATTGTAAGCTATCCTCATTCCGTTAGGTAATATCTATATGATCACCATTCCGTTAGGTAATATCTATATGATCACCATTTCGTTAGGTAATATCTATATGATCACCATTCCGTTAGGTAATATCTATATGATCCTGATTCCCTTAGGTAATATCTATATGATCCTCATTCCGTTAGGTAATATCTATATGATCCTCATTCCGTTAGGTAATATCTATATGATCCTCATTCCGTTAGGTAATATCTATATGATCACCATTCCGTTAGGTAATATCTATATGATCACCATTCCGTTAGGTAATATCTATATGATCACCATTCCGTTAGGTAATATCTATATGATCACCATTCCGTTAGGTAATATCTATATGATCACCATTCCGTTAGGTAATATCTATATGATCACCATTCCGTTAGGTAATATCTATATGATCACCATTCCGTTAGGTAATATCTATATGATCACCATTCCGTTAGGTAATATCTATATGATCACCATTCCGTTAGGTAATATCTATATGATCACCATTCCGTTAGGTAATATCTATATGATCACCATTCCGTTAGGTAATATCTATATGATCACCATTCCGTTAGGTAATATCTATATGATCACCATTCCGTTAGGTAATATCTATATGATCACCATTCCGTTAGGTAATATCTATATGATCACCATTCCGTTAGGTAATATCTATATGATCACCATTCCGTTAGGTAATATCTATATGATCACCATTCCGTTAGGTAATATCTATATGATCACCATTCCGTTAGGTAATATCTATATGATCACCATTCCGTTAGGTAATATCTATATGATCACCATTCCGTTAGGTAATATCTATATGATCACCATTCCGTTAGGTAATATCTATATGATCACCATTCCGTTAGGTAATATCTATATGATCACCATTCCGTTAGGTAATATCTATATGATCACCATTCCGTTAGGTAATATCTATATGATCACCATTCCGTTAGGTAATATCTATATGATCACCATTCCGTTAGGTAATATCTATATGATCACCATTCCGTTAGGTAATATCTATATGATCACCATTCCGTTAGGTAATATCTATATGATCACCATTCCGTTAGGTAATATCTATATGATCACCATTCCGTTAGGTAATATCTATATGATCACCATTCCGTTAGGTAATATCTATATGATCACCATTCCGTTAGGTAATATCTATATGATCACCATTCCGTTAGGTAATATCTATATGATCACCATTCCGTTAGGTAATATCTATATGATCACCATTCCGTTAGGTAATATCTATATGATCACCATTCCGTTAGGTAATATCTATATGATCACCATTCCGTTAGGTAATATCTATATGATCACCATTCCGTTAGGTAATATCTATATGATCACCATTCCGTTAGGTAATATCTATATGATCACCATTCCGTTAGGTAATATCTATATGATCACCATTCCGTTAGGTAATATCTATATGATCACCATTCCGTTAGGTAATATCTATATGATCACCATTCCGTTAGGTAATATCTATATGATCACCATTCCGTTAGGTAATATCTATATGATCACCATTCCGTTAGGTAATATCTATATGATCACCATTCCGTTAGGTAATATCTATATGATCACCATTCCGTTAGGTAATATCTATATGATCACCATTCCGTTAGGTAATATCTATATGATCACCATTCCGTTAGGTAATATCTATATGATCACCATTCCGTTAGGTAATATCTATATGATCACCATTCCGTTAGGTAATATCTATATGATCACCATTCCGTTAGGTAATATCTATATGATCACCATTCCGTTAGGTAATATCTATATGATCACCATTCCGTTAGGTAATATCTATATGATCACCATTCCGTTAGGTAATATCTATATGATCACCATTCCGTTAGGTAATATCTATATGATCACCATTCCGTTAGGTAATATCTATATGATCACCATTCCGTTAGGTAATATCTATATGATCACCATTCCGTTAGGTAATATCTATATGATCACCATTCCGTTAGGTAATATCTATATGATCACCATTCCGTTAGGTAATATCTATATGATCACCATTCCGTTAGGTAATATCTATATGATCACCATTCCGTTAGGTAATATCTATATGATCACCATTCCGTTAGGTAATATCTATATGATCACCATTCCGTTAGGTAATATCTATATGATCACCATTCCGTTAGGTAATATCTATATGATCACCATTCCGTTAGGTAATATCTATATGATCACCATTCCGTTAGGTAATATCTATATGATCACCATTCCGTTAGGTAATATCTATATGATCACCATTCCGTTAGGTAATATCTATATGATCACCATTCCGTTAGGTAATATCTATATGATCACCATTCCGTTAGGTAATATCTATATGATCACCATTCCGTTAGGTAATATCTATATGATCACCATTCCGTTAGGTAATATCTATATGATCACCATTCCGTTAGGTAATATCTATATGATCACCATTCCGTTAGGTAATATCTATATGATCACCATTCCGTTAGGTAATATCTATATGATCACCATTCCGTTAGGTAATATCTATATGATCACCATTCCGTTAGGTAATATCTATATGATCACCATTCCGTTAGGTAATATCTATATGATCACCATTCCGTTAGGTAATATCTATATGATCACCATTCCGTTAGGTAATATCTATATGATCACCATTCCGTTAGGTAATATCTATATGATCACCATTCCGTTAGGTAATATCTATATGATCACCATTCCGTTAGGTAATATCTATATGATCACCATTCCGTTAGGTAATATCTATATGATCACCATTCCGTTAGGTAATATCTATATGATCACCATTCCGTTAGGTAATATCTATATGATCACCATTCCGTTAGGTAATATCTATATGATCACCATTCCGTTAGGTAATATCTATATGATCACCATTCCGTTAGGTAATATCTATATGATCACCATTCCGTTAGGTAATATCTATATGATCACCATTCCGTTAGGTAATATCTATATGATCACCATTCCGTTAGGTAATATCTATATGATCACCATTCCGTTAGGTAATATCTATATGATCCTCATTCCGTTAGGTAATATCTATATGATCACCATTCCGTTAGGTAATATATATATGATATATAGTTGCTCGTTATTTTCGCCATCTGCTCTCGCCATTTCATGGATTACAGAAATACAGAATTCAGCAAGAACATAATGTAACAGCATTCTAATATGTCTCCTCCTTATTTAAAAATAGAAGCGATATTTTCGATCAATCAGCGCGCATGACTGCTTTCTGTTCAATGAAATTGGGAAGTGGTTGTCGGAAATTCCGATCTACTGGCGATGTAATTTATATTAACAGAATTTAAATTGAAACCCACACTGCTAGGATTGTGTTTTCGCTTCGATTGCTATTGAATCAAATGTAAAGTATGTCGACATTTGACGCTGTTGACTGACGAGAAATCAACTGTAGTTTTGAAACAATGTGAGAAAAAAATAAAACTCGTTCTTCTTTCAGCTTCACATTTCATTCCGGAAATATTGATACACAAAATAGACATTTATAATACATTCCATTGGTGGCTATAAATACAGATAAACTTCATACGTAATTTGTATTTTTATTTTTTACTAAATTCTCGTGATTTCATACCTCCAAACTAAGACATAGAGCGTAATGAATATATATATATATATATATGATCACCATATATCGATATATCTATATGATGATCATAGAGATATTACCTAACGGAATGATGATCATATAGATATTACCTAACGGAATGGTGATCATATATCATATGAATCCGCCTGAAGAAGCCCTAGAAGGCAGAAAGGCCTAGCGGACGATCTGAAAAAAATATGTTTTTATTCTATATATATAAATATAATTATGGATAAACTTGGTTCAATATATGTGCATTATGACTGCAGACTGAGCCCAACGTCGAATATTAACTACATGGTAACCGTTTCAGTAAACACGCGAGGGTAGCTAATATAAACTATGTTACCGTTTCGGTAAACACGCGAGAGCAGCTAATATAAACTAAGTAACCGTCACAGTAAACATTCGAGGGCAGCTAATATAAACTAAGTAACCGTCTCAGTAAAAATGCGAGGGCAGCTTATATAAACTAAGGAACCGTCTCAGTCAAAACGCGAGATCAGCTAATATAAACTAAGGAACCGTCTCAGTCAAAACGCGAGATCAGCTAATATAAACTAAGGAACCGTCTCAGTCAAAACGCGAGGGCAGCTTATATAAACTAAGTAACCGTCTAAGTAAACACGCGAGGGTAGCTAATATAAACTATGT